AACCCACATATCAGTTAAAAGAAATTTTGTTTTTTCCATTCAATGTTAGGAGAAATTTGTTTTTTTCATTAGATGCAGATAAAATAAAAAACCATTAGATCCAGAGTACAACATTTATTTCCAATATCAAATTAGAAGGAAAAACCAACAAAAAATAAATAAATGGAAAACCACAAAAAAAAGTAAAAGAAACAAAACCTTACCTTGTTGAATAAGAAGAAGAAGGTTGAAGTTGAGAGAGAGCACGATAATAGGGAAGAGGGAAGAGCTGAGTCAAGGGAGAGGGGTGAGAGACAGTAGGGAGGTTTTGAGACGAAGCCGAGACAATAGAGAAGTTTTGAGAGGGAGCCGAGACCATTGCGAGGGTTTGAATGAAAGATCGCTATTTTCGGATGTTCAACATCCGAAAATACCAAAAACTTGGATGTTGAACATCCGAAAATAATAAATTCAATGTGTTAACTTGCGCCCATTTTCGGATGTTCAATATCCGAAAAACACGCATATTCGGATATTGAACATCTGAAAAAGGGTAAAGTTATCTTTTTTAAAAAAAGACGTTATGAAAGATAAAAAACGGACATATGAATAATAACAGAAACTATTTGGTGGAATTGTAATAACGTAAAATAAAAAGGATATGTATGTAATTTATTTATTTATTTATTTTTTATTTTTTATTTTTAAGACCATAATGTTCAAGCTATAATGATTGATTTAAATGTTTTCAACCAATGGTTTAAAAAGCGGATCGGTGACCTGGATCGAGCACCTCAAAAACCAATCTGGATCGGCGATCTGGATCGAGAATCGAGTGAATCGGTCAGAATAAAGGTTCAAAAAAATCCAAAAAAATTATTAAAATTCATTATAAATATTGTTTTTCAAAATTCAATAAGAAATGAGGGTACTCCATTAAGAATTTTCATGTTTTTGCATGAGTATGCGAATATTGATATGTTCTTTCCCTGTATGAACTACTATTCAGCATTTAATTTACATCATACACAAGGATAAACATAGAATTATCATGGAATAAGTATATCAACATACATGGACTACAATAAAGCATACAATTAGTAACATACGATCTAAAAATAAAATGACAGACGACGTTGTTGTTCTTCTTGGTCACGCTGGTGCCATTGATTGAATCCGTTTGACAATTCATTGATTCGATCTAAAAACGAATCATCGATATTAGCAGGCGTCTGACTATACCCAAATCCTTGAGTGTTAGTGTTTTATTGTGTTCCCAATCCAAAATCCCCGAAGCTTGTCCATCCTTCATGTTCACCTACACTGTCGTGCTCATCCCTACACTGTTGCTGTTGGGACCGATATGTGAATAATATGGCTGGGATAGGGTGGCCTCAGAATCATCATCTCGCTCATTTTCTCTTAGATCCCCTTCCCACTCTGCCTCATTAGGTGCAATATCACCGACATCTCCGACAAATTGTGGATACGTTGGCTGGCTGCTTCCTCTTTCATGCTGCTCAT